TATATATATATATATATATATATAGATATAACGCGGCTTGTCACGATGATAGCGTTGCCAATTTACTGAACATACTTATTCTACCAACAGATACCGAAGTCAAGTTCGAAGATGAGCACAATCGGTCGAGTAATTTAGAAATGCCAGGATTTAACAATTTTCAAAATTATAAAAACTCATAATTTCTTCACTTTCTAACTCGAATAACTTGGGAATGGGATAACTTATTGAATCTTTGTAAATTGCATCAGAAAGGTCTCTAAATAGGCTTCAATTTGAGTGCCATATCATATGTGTAGTCCCAAAATTATATCCTATTCCGCTATGCCAATAATGAAATTTGCTATTGCATTCGTTTCTTAAAATATTTATTTTATTAGAAAATTTTTATTGTAATATTTACAATAAAAATCATATGTAAAATTCAATTGTAATTTTGATTGATAAGTAATAAAATGAAATCTACTTCCATTTCGGCTGCCAAATGGTCTTTTTTTTTTTTTTTTTTTTATATAGAGAAGCGAAAAAAATCTTCCAAAGACACCGCTATCATTGAAAAATGATGGTTGGTAATGTGGGATTTTTACCCACTAAAAAAAACTCCTCTCCCCTTTCCCGTGGATGGTACGGAGATGACTGGATCGGAACCGCGTAAGCATTACTTCAATCCAGTCTGTGTTGCTCCTCCCGACGGCTGCCCCTGATTACTGATACCTTTCTGCGGTTTTTTCTTTTAAAAGGTGCTGCGCATAGGCTGTGACAACTGACCAGTTTTCTTCTTTTTTGAGCATATAGGTCACCAGGCTCGAGGGGGAGAGCCTGGTGCCTTTAATTTCTTAGGTGCTGCTTCTGTAGTCCTTCCACCGATCACACTCGAAGAACATGTGTTCGGCGTCGTCAATTTTGTCTGGGCAGTATTTGCACGTTAGCGTGCTGTGCAAACCCATCTTTAAAAGATTGGCGTTATACTGTCCATGTCCCGTCAATAGCTGGGTCAGAAAGAAGTCCGATTCTCCATGCTTCCGAGAAAGCTAGACGTTTATGTTTGGAATCAGGCGTGCCATCCATCTGCTTGTTTCCCCGGTTGTCCATCGGTCCTGCCACTCATGTAGCGTTTTTGTCTTTATCTTCGCTCTTGCCTCCTTAGAGTTGTCTCCATTTACTTTGGCATCGAAGGTTTTCGCCCTCTCGAATGCTAGTAAGTCGATTGGCGCGGCTCCTGCTATGACCAATACGGCTGCTTCTGAAACCGTGCGGTAGGCACAGGTGACTCTGAGCGCTCCTCGTCGTTGTACTGCCGTTATCTTGCGCCGGGATATCTGCCCGTATCTCCGCTTCGTAGAGTAATATCGAGTGGACTACTTCTAGAAGTGCCCTCCTTTTTCTGGTTTGTGGTCCCACCGTGTTGGCCATGATTCTCGACAGGATGGATACTGTCTTGTTAGTTTTCACGCAAGCGTTTTCGAGGTGTTTCCCCGAGGAGTAGTTCAGCCGCTTCTACACTGTCTACTACTATCGTGGCCGCAACGTTGTCTGCAAAGCCCGTTAGCTCGACTTGCTTTGGTAACGGGATTTCAAGTAGCTCGTCGTAGTCCGCGTTCCATAGATCAGGCCCCATTATTGAGCCTTGCGGTACACCAGCTGTTATGGCGTATTCTTGTGGGCCTTCCGTAGTTTCCGTTATTAGCTTTCTTCCGTCCAGGTAGTTGTCGACTAGTGCCAGATTCTCTGGCTCCACGTTAAATTTGTGCTCCAAAGCGTCTAATATATCTCCCCAATTTGCGCTATTAAAGGCGTTTTTGACGTCTAGCGTGAGGAGAAGACATACTTTACGAGCTTTGAGGCTATCAGACCATGCTTGTTTTGCTGTCTTTATGACTTTCTCGATCGCTCCGACGGTCGAGCGATCTTTCCGGAAGCCATGTTGGTTGGTGGCAAAGCCTCCGGCACGGTCGATGTCTTTACGAAGTCTTCCTTGTATGAGCTTCTTGAGCAGTTTTCCAGCAATGTCCAGCATGCAGAGTGGTCTAAACGAGGAAGGTGTTACGGGGGTTCCCTTACCTTTGTCTAAGAGAACCAATCTTTGCCGCTTCCAGACCGCGGGCAGCGTGCCGGTTTCCAAGCATGCATTGTATGTGTTCAGGAGTATGTCTGGGTATTCCAAGGCTACAGTGCTGTTCACCGACGTCGGGATGCCATCAGGGCCAGGTGAATTTCCATCTTGAGAGACTTTGCCGCGTCCTGCAGCTCCTTAGTTGTAAAAGGTGCTGATTTGCCATCTTTTCCGTAATCTTAACCGATCGATTCTGAAAACTAATCAGCTCTCAACATTAAAAAACCACGTTGATCGCCGCCAAGCCGTTCAAAATCAGTTGATTCGTTCGTGAGTTATCGTTGACGAAAAAATTAGGAGACTCTGAAGGCCATCCCTGCAACTTCCCACTAATTCCATACCTAGGTGCTTAAAATTGCCTCGTAAAGAATCTTTGAGTTTGAATTGATCAAACTAGGAATTTCGGAGTAATTCCGGAAAAACACTTTCTTTGGTTTTCTTCCGTTTACGATATCTCTCGAACGAATCGACCGATTTTGACCGGCTTGACGGTGATCGATGTAATTTTTTGATGTTCATAGCTGATTAGTTTTTGGAATTGATCGGTTCAGCTGATTAAAAGTTATTCCAAAAAATGTCGGAGTTATGTTAAAAAAAAACACTTGTTTCTAAATGTTTCATCAAGGACATCTCTCGAACCAATCAACCGATTTTCACGTTCTTGGCGACGGTCAACGCGGTTTTTTGAGTTCTCATAATTATTCTGTCTCATCAAAAACGATTCGAGAGGAAATGTCGACGTTATGTAAAAAAAAACTTTTTTCCTCCACTTCGGGCGAAAAGTGTCATTTTCCTCCGGCAGCGCTAAAATGCCGCTTTCCGCTTTCGTCAAAGAGGAAAATAGTATTTTCACCACGGGCAGGGAATAAGAAAGTCTCAGATCACATATTTGTCGACCTAGGCTTCGCCTTGGTCAACAATTACATGTAATCTGAGACATTTCTTATTTTCCTGCCCTAGGGGAGAAATGTACTATTTTCGGTTTTCTTTCCTTCACGATATCTCTCAAACGAATCAACCGATTTTGACCTGATTAGCGGCGATCAACGTGGTTTTTCAAGGTTGAGAGCTGATTAGTTTTTAGAATCGATCGGTCGAGCCGTTTAAAAGTTATTCCACAAAAACCACTTCTGAAAAAATTTTTTTACACATACATACATACATACATACATACATACATAGTGACAATATCGCAGGGATATTCAGGGAAGCTTCTTGTGACCTTAAGAAGTTGATATCTGATGAAAACTCGATTTTTGCAAAACGGGATGAAAACAATAACTTCCCGATTTTTGAATATCTTCGATTTTCTTAGCGGGAAGTTAAAAATTGAAAAAAAGTAATTTTTTCGAATTACATCTGAATTTTTTGGTCTGATCAATTTGTGTTTAAAAGTATATCATAGAATTTGAAAAACTGCGTTGAATGCTGCCAACCGCGTGAAAATCGGTTCATCGATTCAAAAGTAATTGCAGTTTTTAAATTTAAATATTAGTGTTTTATTAAACTTCTATCAGACTTTTGAGCTCGAAGCGCCCAAAAGTTTAGAACAACTAACTCTTTGAGCTCGGAGAGCTCAAAATAACACACAAATTATATTATTGAGCTCGAAGAGATCAAACACGTCATAATTGCAATTTTAAGCGCTTAGATATGGAATTAGCGGTAAGTTGCAGGGATGGCCTTCAGGGTCAACTGTTTTCCTTATTTTTTTATCTAAGTGGGGACTTTTGTCACGAAACAAGTGTCCTTACAATCCATAAATAGAGTTTGAACTCTAAACGATTTATCATATCCATCCAATATAGTTTTTAATAAGTCAAAATCTATTCAAAGTCGTAATTTATGACGAAAAACGTCTAAAAATTAATACTTCTAATAATGTATGAATAGTTTCTCAGACATCAATAGCGATGTTAACTTTATAGACGTATCCGCAAGATGTATAACTACTAGATAACTTACTCAATCGGAAACAACTCCAAGATAAGTTACTTTAATAAGAATACTACAAAAGCTCGTATTTAAACTTAATTGGATGTATGTGCTTTTTTAACGCCGGTGTAGATGACTACGATGGTAGAGGATAGCTCACCTAGCCAACTTCCTTATGTGACGTGTGTGTCTCTTTGAAGTTGTCTAGCCAATGTAACGATTGGAAAAGAACAATAATCATTTTTCATTTAAAAAACTTCTAAATATTTTAAAGAATTTAACTTGAATTTGAATCTCAATTAAGTTGAAGCACAAATTATTTTGACCAGTAATATTTCATTCTAAAAAATGGTGCGATGACTTATGAGATACTTTATTTACAACATAATATTTCAATTAAAAATAAGTTTGTGGTGATCGTTAGATATTAAATTGTGTAATTTATTTGTATTTTAAGACAACCAATTTATCATTTAATCAATAATAAATTATCTAATTAACAGGTTCAATGGTTATTAGAAAACTACGAGACAGCTGATGGTGTATCTCTGCCAAGATCAACGCTTTATAATCATTACTTACGTCATTGTTCTGACAATAAACTAGACCCTGTGAATGCAGCAAGTTTTGGTAAATTAATTCGGTCTGTCTTTCTTGGTTTAAGGACTCGGCGCTTAGGAACCCGGTAAAATAATAATTCAATTTTTGTTTTTTATTTATCTAATTGATTTTTTCCACATATTATTTTTATCTGTTTAACCGTTCATATACTAAAGCGTATACCAATCTAAACTTGCATTTATATACAGTGAAAATCATAAAATCTATCTCATATAACTATAATGACATGTTCTAAAAAATATTTATTAGAATTCATGACTGCAAAATTTTTTAGGTGACAATAAATGTTAAAAAAATGTAGTTAAAAAAAATAAAACGAATAAATGGCTGTTTCTGACTTTTTTCCATCATTTTTTAGAGATTTCGGCAAAAGATATCATGCTAAGATGATAATCTCTAACGTATGTATACTGGAAAAAAAAAAGAAAAAAATTGACTGAACTCCATAGAAAAATTCTTAGATGAAGCCAAATTTACTTACACCAAGGAAAATTTCTCAGTTCAAAAATTTTTCTATTGAATCAAATTAATTTTTAATTTTTTTTTTTTTTAGTGTACAGAAGTCTATCTTTGCGTTTCTTTTTTCTAAAAGATAAAATAAATTTTAATAACTAGCAATCTATTCTATTTTTTATGCCACCACACTTCTAGTTAACCGTGGTTGTTTCGGGCAAATTTCTACAACATAGTGAAATAGATTATTTTTCTTCATACTGAGATTAAATTTTTCTATATTATTATTTTTTCAGCCGTATGCAGTCTGTCTTAGTTGTATGTTGATCAAGTATAGTGTATGAAAATTATTTCATATTCACTATAAGTCAAAACATATCGTTTCTTTATTATAGATTCTTTAGTATAGATCGATGAAATTTTTATCTATACTTGAAACTAGTAAGCTGGTAGTTGTACGTATTTTTTTGTTCTGATGTTAATTGGATCATTGCAGCTTTTTAAAATTAATCGAAAGCAAAGAATAACTTCGAAAAAATACATCGGGCTTAGACTGCGAGTTGGATTTATAGTGAATATGAAATAATTTTCATGCTATATACTTGATCAACATACACCTAAGACAGACTGTTAACATATTTTCTATGTCATTATTATTTGCTTAAAATGTTATTATTATATTTTCAGTGGTAATTCGAAATACCATTATTATGGAATACGAGTAAAACTGACTTCATCTTTGATGATGTTAAATGAAGATGGAACATCGCGACATCAACCAACTTCAAATAGTCACACAAAACGGTTCAAATTTGTTAGTAATCAGAAACAAGAATCGATGTATGAAAACAACTCCCATGGAAACACAAATATTTCTTCGAGTAATTTATCGTCACAATACCATCAGTACTTGGGTGAATCAAATGGTGCTATTCCTGCGTTTCCTGAAATAATTGTTAACCATGATTCATCTATCCCTGAAGATTGTACTTTAGAAGATATTGATACATTTCGTAGTATTTATCGTGAGCATTGTGAAGCTTTTCTTGATGCTGTTCTCAACTTTGAGTTTGGTACAATTGAAAGTTTATGGCGTGAATTTTGGAGAAGTCAAGACAATAATAATGGAGACGAATGTGAAGAAGAGAAATATTTATCGAAGTAATTTATTTAATTATCTATTTAAAAAATTTTATACATTATTCACTAAAATCATGTAATTAATTTATACTTGTTTTTTAACAGAACAAAACTTTATCACATGTGCAAATGTGATGAGGTACAAGATTTTATCAAAACTGTTGATTATACATTTTATCAAAATTTAGTAGAAGTACTGATGCCAGACGTTCTTCGTCCAATACCCAGTAAGTTTTTATGATCGTCTGAAAAATAAGCTAAGTCAGATCTCTATATTTAATATTTTCTCTTATTATACACTGAGAAAACGGTTTGTTTGACTCAAATGCACAGATTTATTCGAAGGCTGAGGCTATTCAGACACTGTAGCATGAATATAAGATTTTTTTCAACCAATAGCATGGCGTGAAATTTCTAATATTCACGCTAGCCTCACGCTGAAGCCGCTCACAGTGTCCGAATAGCCTTACCGTTATTTGAAATGAATCAAAAATATTTATTTAATGATAACAAATTTCTTTTATTTAAATATATATTATTTTGAATCAAATACTACTTCGTTTTGGTTTATTTAATTGAATCGACTCATTTATTTCATTCAAATAAAGATTTGCGTTAACTATTAACAAATCTCGCTTCAAGTAAATTACGCTTGGTGTCGCTATTTTTGAATGCAAGAATATTGTTTACATTTGACTTTTTTTGTGTCCAACCACTATTTCTTTTATATTTATTTTATTATAATATTAATTTACCTATTGATCTTAAAGAAATTTTATTTTATTCGGTTGTGACTTACTATTTTTTTTTTCATTAAAATTTTTTTTGCAGTTATTGAAACGAAAAATAAAATTTCTTAACCTAAAATCCGTGTCGTTTAGTAATAATTTTTTTACAGAAAATATTCAAATGTTATTGAATATAAAATTTGTGTATTTTATAACAATTTTTCAGAGTTATTTTTTCATCGACCGATTGTGTGTTTAAATTAGAATATTCAGCCTTATTGGTCATACGTGACTACCACCATCATTTCTGAAAATTTGTACTAGCGCCTCAATAATAATTACATTACCATCGTAGTACGTAGTTTAGGTAGGAGAAAAGGAAAAAGTGAGTAAGCATTGAGAGTATAAGAATGAACTGAGAGAAATGATGGTGGTAGGGGCCCGGTAGCTTAACTGGTAGAGCTTCTGACATGTTATCAGGGAGATCCAGGTTCGATTCCTGGCTTGGCAACCAACCCCATTTATTTTTTCAAAGTTTGTCTTTGCTCTCATTTAATCTCTTTCATTATCTTTCATTCAATTAACATCTTTACAACTCGAACAGATACTACAAGCTTCCAGCTTTACTAGTATTCAAGTTCGACGGATTTCCATCGAACTTAGTAGAAGAGAGGGAACTCTCGACATATAGGGAAGATAGAGTGTCCATCTATTGGCTTGAATTAAAGATCTACTAGTCACGTATGACCAATAAGGCTGAAGAAATATTCTAATTTTATAACACTATTAGTTTATTTTCGTAAAAAGATATACTACTATTACTTGTAATACTAAAAAAATATTATGATTACTATGATACTGAAGTTAGCCGTCAGTTGTCAATTTTAAAAATTTTAACAACAAATCAATTACAATAAAAAAATGCTTCTAAAAATTTTCACTTCCCAGTAATATAAACACGTTTACGTCAATGTGACGTCAAAATGACATTGGGCTATGTCAGGATTTACGTAAGATATGTCACGAATGAGTCATATGTGGGGGGAGGGGATCGATCAAATGTTATTGTGTTATGTTCACTAAAGGGGGGGGGGGGTATAAATATACTGTTACGTAACATTATATCTAAATTTTATTAATATTTATAGAATTAATATTTGTAAATTTTAGTCCAACGCCATCATTTGGAAAGCGCGGCAGTTTCACATCTTTACTCGAAATTACTCAATTCTGCGACATACTGTACTCAACTCAAAAAAGTGAATAACTTTAAAAAAATAAAATAGGAAAACGGTTGACCCTAAAGGCCATTCCTGCAACTTTTTACTCATTTCATACTTAAGCGCACAAACCTACATTTATTACACTTTTGAGCTCTTTGAGCTCAAATATATAATTTCCGTATCATTTTGAGCTTTCCGAGCTCAAAAATCTGCTAGAAGTTGAATAAAACACTATTTTTCGAATTTTTAAACCGCAATAACTTTTGAATTAATGAACTGATTTTTACGTGGTTGGTAGCATTTAACGCAGTTTTTAAAGCTTCATGAAGAACTATTAAGTTTAAATTGATCGAACAAGGAATTTCAAAGTAATTCCCAAAAAATGATTTTTTCGATTTTTTTCGTTAACGATAACTCACGAACGAATTAATCGATTTCGAACGGGCTGGCGGCAATCGACGTGTTTTTTTAATGTTAAGAGCTGATTAGTTTTTGGAATTGATCGATCAAGCCGTTTAAAAGTTATTCCAATGAAACCACATTTGAAAAAATTTTTTTTTGCAGTCTTTTTGAGATTTCTCAAAATCTACTGTTTCGAATTGATCTAAATTATGGTTAAAATCTAAGTTTAGTCAAGTACAGACATTATCGCGGAAATATTCGGGGAGGCTTCCTAGGACCTCAACATGACGTCAATATCCGTTGAAAACTCGATTTTTGAAAAACGGAGTGAAACCAATAACTTCCCGATTTTTGAAAATTTTCAATTTTCTTAGCGGGAAGTTAAAAACTCTACTCAATTTTTTTACTACTCAATACTAACTTTACTCAACGTTAAATTTACTCAGTACTAACTGTATTCAACGAAATCTTTATTAAATAATATTTTACAAGTGATGGCGCGCTTTTAAAAATCTCTATTCAATATTTTTTTATGTAATAATATTTTATTCGGCAAAAACAATACTGTACAATACAAGAAACATTTGTCAAAGAAATTTTACTATTTTGTTTCCTCGAGAAATAATTGTTTTTTTAAACAAAAATTTTTTTCCCATTGAGGCTAATTTATAATTGGAATGAAAAATTTTTTTCAGGCGGGAAAAATTTTTTCATACCCTAAAGAAACTTTTAAGACGTCAAGCAAAACAAAAATTTTCAAAAAAATCACTTTAATATTCAAACATACCATTTATTTATAGTTAACAAATCTGATTTGGTTGAAATATACGATTGTTAGCACCAAAGAAATATTTGTTAACTATAAACAAATCTGGTCTTCATTCAAATATACTACAACTTTGTCTCAAATAAATAAATTTATTTGTATCAAATAAATATTTCAGGTGATATTTAAATAAGAGATTTATTTATAGTTAACGAACCTCATTTCATTTAAGGGGGTATTCTGGTCTAGAAGCCTAAATTTTAGGCATTTTTCAAACTAACATAAAAAAAAAAATGAAAAACATTTTTATCATCCGTTTTTTTATATGATGTTTATTGACATTTCAAGAATATAAAAAAAAATTTGAAAAAAAAAATGATAAATTTGACAAATTACAGGCCGGTGAAGTGAGGGCTACAAAACAAACGGTGCACTCTGGTTGGCATAATTCCAGCCCTTGTAGTGATATGAAACAAAAAAAATTGTCAAATTCTCAATCTGTAAATATGTCACTATCGCGTTGACTATAGCAAAAAAAAAAAATTCACAAAATGGCGTCGACATAAAATATCAATTTATTTTTTTTACCCTTTTTTATGACAAACGGTGCACTCTGGTTGGCATAATTCCAGCCCTTGTAGTGATATGAAACAAAAAAAATTGTCAAATTCTCAATCTGTAAATATGTCACTATCGCGTTGACTATAGCAAAAAAAAAAAAATTCACAAAATGGCGTCGACATAAAATATCAATTTTTTTTTTACTCCTTTTTTTGACCTTTTCGAATTTTTTAAAAATACTCCAAATTGAAATTTTTTGAAATTCGTAGCAGACGCGATAGAGAGATATATAAAGCAAATTCCCACTAAATTTCAAAGGAATCGTGAGGTAGAACTTAAGATATCATGTCAACCACTTTAAAAAAAGTAGTTTCGAGAAAATCGCGTTTAAAGTTTGAGAAACAATTTCAGTAAAATGACTCACAATAATATTTAATATTCACTTTGGATTAATCGCGAATCCCAGATCCATAAATTGGGCCTTCTTCTACTTCCTACTCGACGTTTTACGAAGTTCTTTCTGCTAATCGAGCTGTTCTGCCTTCTATTGAAGAAGCAGAAGCAGAAGCAGCTGCGTCACAAAATCCACTGTATCTTCGAAAATAATTCGAATTTTGAAAAATCCACTTAAGGACATATTTTTAGGGGTCTAAAATTTGGAAATATGCAAAAAAAAAAATTCGAATTTTTTAAATTTCTAGACCAGAATACCCCCTTAAATAAATTGTTTACTCAGTGTATAAATTATTTGAAATAATTAAATGCTAAAATTTACTAATTATTAAAGGCACATTAACACAGTCTATAAGAAACTTTGCAAAGGGATTGGAATCATGGTTAACGGCAGCCATGAATGACTGTCCAGAGGAAATGATGCAAATTAAAGTAAGTTTTATAAACCTATTGCTTAGTTCGAAATCAAAATTATATTTTTTTATTTTTCAGTTAACAGCTGTTTCGGCTTTTGCTCAAACTTTACGAAGATACACATCTTTGAATCACCTTGCTCAAGCTGCGCGTGCAGTACTTCAAAATTCTAGTCAAATAAATCAAATGTTAGCAGACTTAAATCGTGTAGATTTTCATAACGTCCAAGAACAAGTATGTCAGTCATATTATTTATGTAAAAATTATTATTATTATTATTTTAATTATTATTGCTGCTACTACTACTACTATTACTACTACTACTCTCATGATCCAAAGGCCTCCTGGGTTTGTCAATGCGATTATGCAGTTGTTCAAAAATTGGAAGCAGATTTCAAGGTCACTCTACAACAACAAAATTCATTAGAACAGTGGGCTGTATGGCTGAAAAGTGTTGTTACTCAAGTTTTGAAGCCTTTCGAGGGTAAACCATCGTTTTCTAAAGCAGCTCGTCAATTTCTTCTCAAATGGTCTTTTTATAGGTATAAAATAATTCTATACAATATTTTAAAATAATTATATAATAATATGATACTCTATGTAACTATTCTATTATATACTGTTTTTTATGTGTGAAATCTTATGACTAATTAATGAATCAGCATACTGAAATATCACAGGAACAATTGGAAAAAATTTCATAGATCATTCAAAATATTTTTCAAATTTTACTACTGAACTGATCGAATACAAAATTTGATAAAAAAATCAATTTTATTACTAGTTTGTTCCTGGCTATTCTTGAATGCAGAACTATAAAAAATCGAGGCACCTTCAAAAAACATTAAAAAATATATAACACACCGAGGGAGAGAAATTGCATGTTCCAGTCAGCTTGCAAAAACCCAAACACGCCGATTAAGATATTCTAATTTTCTCCCTGGCGTGTATACGATTTTTTAATATATCGGTAACCGAAATTTTAAATTTCTGCCTTTATTTTGCAGTACGATTAGTACAAATGTCAAACTATTTAATTTATTTTTTTATCAGAAAAAAGTGACTCTTTCTCCCGCAAAACTAGGCAGAAATTCAAACTTTCAGTGCAGTAACAGTAAATAGATAAATTTTGTGTAACACTTTTATATGCATATGATTAACTGAAGTCATAAACCTTCAAGTTATTAACTTATAATTAAATTTCTTTATGTGTAGTTCAATGGTTATTCGTGATTTAACATTACGTAGTGCAGCTAGCTTTGGGTCGTTTCATCTCATTCGCTTGCTATATGATGAATACATGTTTTATCTCATTGAACATCAGGTCGCTATTGCAACTGGTACTACTCCAATAGCAGTTATGGGTGATGTAATTACTTTACTTTTTATTATTCAATATCAATCAGGTACTTGCAAAAGTTGATTTATTCATTTCTTCCAGAAAAATCAAGCTTATCAGATAATCAATGATTATGACATGACTTCCAACGGAAGTAAGTAATAAAATAATTCATATCAATAACGATGTATTTATTAAAATCATAAAAAAATATTACAGGTGTTTCAAGTATAAATGAACAAAAACGGATCAAAATTAGCTAACTAAGTGCTAGTGCTTTGTAAGATTCAATCTTTGTGCAATTCATACAATTTCCCCAACATTTCAATTCAGTTAACATTAACATTAACAAGAAAGGTTTATATATCATGATTTCACAAATTATATCATTTAGCAGCGAAACAAATTATAATTAAAACAATTAAGTATATAATTCAACAAAATTTTGCAGTCATAAAATTCAGTAATAGCTGGTGATGCAGAGATTAACAAAACTGAAAATAATAATAATAATAATAATAATAATAATAATAATAATAATAATAATAATAATAATAATAATAATAATAATAGTAATAGTAATAATAATAATTATAATTATAATTATAATTATAATTATAATTATAGTGACACTAACAATGATAATGTTTACGATACTCCAGAGAAAACATGAACCATCTTTTTCACCAAACTGCATTCGAGTCTATGGGACCATTCATAATAAATGTTCTCTCAGTAAACTCATCCAAAGATATAAATAAGTGATTGAAAGTCTCTTATTAGCGTGATTTATTTTTTTGACTGTAAAATTATAAACTTGTTTGTACTAATAAGAATTAATGTATCATTAACAATTTATGAAAAAAAAAAAAAAACATCAAGCTTATTCACTGTGTTAGTTTTTCCATTTTACCTTGAATAATGTATAAACTGGTGACAAAAAAATTTTTTCAGGCATTTTTTACCAGTGAAAGTCATAAGTTCACGATAAAGCATAGAATCTTCAGAATTACAACATGTGATCTCGGATAGAACATGGCTGTCTAATTCGGTGATGTTCATTTATGATTAATGAAAAACTAACACCGACCAGTTTTTGGTATATATACATACCAATTGACAATTCACCTCGAAATAAGTCGAGATTTTTAATGGGATTTCATCATTGCAGACGTTACTACGTCAATCATAGATGTCAATAGTTAAGCTTAGAATCATTTTATTATCGTAATTAGTACTCAAGTATTAACCTTATATTCATTCTAAGAGGTTGTATTAAACTGGTAACATACCATATAATCCGAGATCATTATATCCGCGACACCATGTGTTGGTTTACTGTCGAATAAACACACTCAAAATCTATGATAAAAGGGCACAACACGGTAACAAGCTTATGTGTTGGCGTATTTTTAGATAAACACAAACAAATTGCAGATATAATATTATACATATGTCGCGGATATAATGACTTCGGATATAGTGACGTAGAACCATTAAACTGATTATTGTTTAATATAATTATCGTATTTATATATCGTCATAATTCTTTGCCTATATTGTAGATAATCGCATTGTCAGTTTTTTAGGCATTTAGATTCTAAGGTCGAGCGATGGGTATCGGGACAGGTAAAGAAAGAAATGTTAAAGCTTTAACAGTTTTGCTGACCGTTCAACTGGCCCCAAAATTAATTAATAAGTAGGACCAGGGACTTCGTATGGAAGGGGTAAAACAATTGATTAAAACAAATGCTCGTGCGTTACCCCTTCCATACGAAGTCCCTGGCCATATTAATAAGTAAACTAAACCAATTTTAAATAAACAATACAAGTTAATCAATTTAGGGTGTAACAGGGTAAATTACCCTTAATCGATAAGTCGCCAGAGATAACTTTTCGACTAGCATTGAGCGCATCGATCTTCGGGCCTAGAGAGAGAGACGAGGAGGGGGTATTTTGGGGAGTCATTAAATAGGTGAGCGATGCGTTGTGTCGGGAGAAGTAGTGAAGTGCTGAAAAGAGTAGGATCGAGGAGTTCAAGAAGGAAGCCATTAGCAACCAAAGAGTTTCTTCAAACCAATTTACACCAGGTATTGGACTTTGATAGTGATGAGCCTTGGGGTGCATACCCGGCTCACTAAGTACACTACTTCTCATTTTTGATTTAATTAATGGTAATTCAGTTGTTTAATAGTATTTCGTTAATAATAATTAATTATTTGATCAATTTAATTCGTTAGCTTTGAGAACAATTCCTCTTGGGGATTTTACACCCGAGGAATGTTCTAGACCTCTTGGGTTAGCAGTCGTGAATAATTAAAATTATTAATGTGGCCAGTTAATAATTATTAACATCTCAAGATTGGCTAAATTAAATTCATTTTTATTATTAAAATTTAATTAAATTCTGAACATCGAGAAATATTTCAATCAGCAACTTACGACTTGGTCAAGCGTCGGTATCCGAGGTCAAGCTAACTACGCAGTAACGAGCAACGGCGTCCATTTTGAGCGCGCAAATTCCTTGTGAATTTTGTGACGCAGTAAAATTTATAAAATTAATAACTGGACTATTATTATAAATTATATCGATTGAATTACCATTTAATTAATTATTTTGTATTGATTTATATTTTATTATTTATGGGAAATTATTTATATTATATTTGGAAACGATTTTAATTACCGGAAAATTAGTTATTGAGAATCTGCGACGCATTTCGAAATTTAACACCCGTGGATAATTTTCTGTATTTATTTTACACCGAGGTGAATTATTAATTATCTAATCATCATTCTCAATTACCAGAAAGTAATTATTCCACGTGTTATTAATTATTGAGAATTAATTTACTAAATTTCGGCGCAGATAAGACTAATACACCCGTAGAAAAACCTTAGGCACGTGATTTTTATATTGAGAAAATTACTAATTAATTATCTAATTTAATTGCCGACTTCTACTTGGGTTGTCTTATATATTGAAATCATGTCCTGGAAAATTTGTCAATAATGTAATGTCATTATTCCGGTAAAATTCTTTATAAAACTATTTATCAGTGTGGATTACGTCCGAGTAAATTTAGTTAATTTTATAAAGAATGCTCTTAAAATTTGTTTAATGTGCCGAGTATAAGCTCGTGTTAAATTTGGAGGGAAAAGAAGCGTCGGTTTTAACCCGGAATTATTAAGGAAGTAAATTATTAGTTGTGAGAATAATTTATGGTTTTATCGCAAGCTAATGACTGAAAATTTTGATAGAATCTAATGTGTTAATTGTTGGAGATTATTTTGTAAAGCTTTTGTAAATCCGGAAATTAGAAAAAGTAAAGTAGAGTCAGTGTGTGTGTGTGAGTGGGATATGTGTGTGAAGACGCGTGGGTTATGTGTGTGGAGATAGTGTGGTTTAGAGTTGTGAGACAGAGGTAGTCTTATTTAGAGCGTGTGTGCCAAGTGGACAACGCGACGTAGTTAGAAGCCGTTGTATAGAAGCCAAGTGGGGTACAACGGTAGTAAGATAGAAACTGCAGTATAGACGCTCAAGGGAGGGTACTGCAGGATTAAGTTTAGTTTTAGGCAGGTGTGGGAGACCGTTAGTTCCGAAAAAGCCCAACTAGTTGTAATCAGGTGTGGGAGACCGTTAGTTCCGAAAAAGCCCAACTAGTTGTAATTAGGTGTGGGAGACCGTTAGTTCCGAAAAAGCCCAATTAGTTGTAATCATGTTGTGGGAGACCGTCAGTTAGAACATCCCAGCTAGTCATCGTATCGTCGTTGGAAAAAAGGGTCGTTTGTAGATATCGTATACTTCGCAGTTAATTCTCCGCGTCGTTAGTTAATAAGTTATAGTTTGTAAGTGAGCTGAATTGTCAGCAAATTTGTTAAAATTGATTTGTTAAATAAAGTCCGAATATTGTTAAATAAAAATTTATTCATTTTCAGAACACCTTCCTCCACTCTCTCTCCCTGTAGATTATTAAGCTCAGCTCTGGTTTCCGGTTCCAGGAACCGCATTGAAAAATCCTGGTGGCGCCCTGGTAAATCTTATTCCACTTAGAGTCATTTTGTTAATTAAGTTGCTATTATTAAAAATTAATCAGGGGTCAAATGAGCGGGAAATAAACCACCAGTTACAAGGGCGCCACCAGGTATATTTTCACAATTCCTGGGACCGGAACAGAGCAGAGAGCTTATCTCTAGGGATAGAGAGAGTAGAGGAAGGTACTGTTGAATAATAAATAATTAATTAGCAAGTTGATCAATATTTATTAACAATAAAAATATCACTCACACACTCACACTATAACAACTTAACAACAGCCTAACTAACGGCTGACTAGAACAGTATTAATTACCCTGCACAGAGACTGTTATTAATTCTGTTATATGCAGAGATCGTTATTAATTCATAATAGCCTAACTAACGGCTAATCAGAAAAAAACTCTTACGATAGCCTAAACTAACGGCCCACCAGAGCTGTACTAACTACCAAGAAACACCTCGCACAGGGACTGTCGTATGCGAGGCGTTAGCGTCGAGTTTTAGTATGACGCTGCGTCGAGTCGCCACATATCCAGGCCAATAACTATGCCTAGAATCCGTAAAAGGATTACCCCCCCTAAACGGAAAAAAAAAAACAACACACACACACACACACACACAATACATTCATACATACAAACATACAGACACCATCGCGGGAATAGTCAGGGAAGCTTCCTAGGACCTCAAAACGTCGAGATCTGATGAAAACTCGATTTTTGAAAAACGGGGTCAAAACAATAACTTTCCGATTTTTGAAAATTTTCAATTTTCTTAGCGGGAAGTTAAAAATTAAATTTATAATTTGTATTAATTTTCGACATTTTTATTATTTTAATTGCAATTAAATTAATTAAATTCCCACCATATTTTTTTTCCCTTCCTCTGAGTCTCGGAAATATAAAGCTTAAAAGAGAATAGACGAGTTTTAAAAATTAGTTTGCCAAAGAAGTTTCACTTCTGACATGCATACTTTGTACGCACGCACTATTTGTGACTCTCATATTATGATTATTGTGACGCGACCTTGAAATTTTACCCTCAACGCGCGCAAAGAAGTTTCACTTCAAAAAAAATATATCCAGAATTATATACAATTATATATAACTCTGAATAATTATACATGAATCATATATAATTATATATAATTGCACATAATCTTTTTTACCCGGGAATAAAAATCACCTGCGGTTAAAATATAATTTACAAGTACATCTATTTATGAGATTATCAAAATACAGTCGAACCTGGATAAGTGAAAGCTCAAGGGACCGCAATATCTTTTTCTCTTGTAGAGGTTTCTTACCAACCCGAGTTTCTAGCTTACAGATGTATCGGAAAAGTCTGTCTCATTTATAGAGGTCTAAAAAAAATACTACAAATGTGTGTGCAATTATCAAAAAAAGGACAAAATTCATTTCATCAAAACATCAAAATTTACTTGAAAAAATCCGTTAATTTCAGTTGAGTTTCTGTTGTTACATTCTACGTATGTTTTTCTAGTTCGTAAATTTGATCAAATATGGTTTGATCCATAACTGCCGCATATTCAAAAAACTTGTGGAGCGTCTCCAATGTATTTAAAGCTTCCTGTTTTTTTGAAATTTTTTCTGCTTCCTTATCCAAATTGTGTAATTGATCGGCTTCATCTTCACTATCATTTTCATCAGTCCACGTGCTCACATAATTTTGGACGATATCGTCATCAGTGTATTCTCCGGCGGTAGCCACGTCGTCGTCAATCTGGATTGTCCTCGAAAGTTGGCGTTGACACATCAGTAGTATCTTGAGACACGAGTTTGGCCCATTCGTCATAGTTAGGTTGAACTTCAACTCCATCTTCATCTTTCTCTAACAGCAAGTCGTGGTTAGCTGGACTGATACTGAACCCAGCTTTTTTAAAGCAGTTTTTGACAGTAACGTCACTCACTGTACATTGATCTCAGGGCTAATGTTTTCTTCCAGACAAATAAGCGTATGCTTTACGACTTCTCTGCGATAGAGCTGTTTGAACATATGGATGATACCTTGATCTAAAGATTAAAGCTTACTCGTGTGGTTGTCGCAACTCGCCTAACGGCTCGTAGCGACATCTACTACATTCTTCTTCATACGAATGCCCCACGAACCTTACGCTCATGTCGCAATACCACGACTGTCAGATTATTTGCTACTTATCCCAGATGTAGCATAAATAACTATTACATAAAACATTATTTAATAATAAATAATTGAATAAGTATTGAGATCAATCTTTAATAATTTATAGTTTATAGATCTCTTTACATTAAATTGCACAACTATATTGCATGCATTAATTCACAATGGGAGCGTCTGTACCTAGTTGGATATTAATTCACTTCTACACCGCACTATACAGAATTTCACTTTGTTCCAATGCTCTTAGATAGTTGAAGCACAATGTTTTAAAGTTTTCAATCGTTGTAGCCGTTGTGATTGCCGGTGGTAAAGAATTACAAAACGCAGTCCCAAAAATGAGGAAAGAGTTCTCCCGTGAAAAAATATTCTGATCAGGCTTGATATGAGCTGATAAAGCCATATAAAAATTTTTGATATATTCATATCTAGCCTGATATGATCTGATATGTCCATATTTAATTTTTGATATGGCCTGATATGAAAATTGGCCATATCAGGCCTGATCAAGCCTTATCAATTTGATATGTCTATATCAGACTTGACATAACTTGATATGCTCATATATAATTTTACATTATTTCTTAATAGGTCCTGATATGGCCTGATATAACCTTATACAGTTATATATACTTTGATAAACTTGAAAAAAAAAATCCCTGATCAGGGTTGATATAACTTAGTATGGATTCATATAGTCTGATATACTCATACCCTTATCAGTACATAAGTAGTTTGATATACTCATATAAAGGCATACCCGCCCGAGTAAAAAAAACTATATAGAATTATATATGATTCATATATAATTATAGAGAAGTATATATAATTCATATAGAAATAAATAGATGTATATATAATTCATATACAATTATATATGAATCACATATAATTGTTTTTACTCCAGTGAGTATTTTGTGATTACTATAAAACATATTCTCTTTTTCTATCTAAGAGTCTGTTACTCGAATGATTAACAATCTTTTAATATATAGTATTTTGCGGATGAAATAATAGGAACTTAAAAAAAAATGTAATTTCACAAAAAGTATTAGTTTTGTCAAGTTCAAAAATTGTTCGCCGGGCTCTCCAGCAATATATAGTTCCATATACTAAACAAATAATTCCATCAAAATTTGAGCTTTTAATTCTGATTTTACCTCTATTATTTTTTTAATTTAAAAGAAATTATAAATTCTAAAGCAACGAAGTACCTTAACAATATCGTAGAATCATTTTTGCGATTTCATGCATACATATATACATAGATAATTTTATAAATCTACATATAGATACCATTATTATATATATTGATAATTAATAATTAATAAATTAGATAAAAAATTTTGTTCACTACGAATCGATCATGTATACGATTTGTATTACTTGTAGTTATATCAAACTCTTCAAGTAAGTCTCTTAGGTAATCAGGTAGTGAATTAGTTAGTCTCAACATGGATACCGTACTGTACACATCGTGTCCTGTACCTACCACATTTTTTTTTATAAAAAATTGATTGCATTGTGCAGTGAATTTGTTATTAAGTGTCTCAAAAATACATTACGAACTGATAAAGTGAATAGTCGTGAGTTTTAGTTTTATATGTGCCACTAAAAATCACTTTTATAAAGCGAATAAATACTGAAAAAGTCTTTGCCAATATGGCTGGCGTGCCACATACACTGGCGAATAGCCAAAGCCTAAAGCGCAAAGCACAAGCAGAGCTCGTCGCGCCTAAAAACAGCACAAAAAAAAATACCATTCATGGTCAGAAACTCTTTTTCTCTCGAGGAATCTGATAAAAAATGGGAGAAAACACAAAAAGGTAATACTAATAAACAAACAAATATTACGCCTAATCTTAAAACGTCGGATAGACGTAACTCTCTACCCAATGTCGATAAAGATGGCTTCCAGTATCCAAAAAATCCTGTCAAGATCAACTCCGGTATCACTCCACAGATGGCGCCAACTGATACTGCAAACCAATATCAAGTTCTTAATACTGTTGAATGCACCATAAATAGCGGAAAAGAAACCGACACTATGGAAACGGATTATGGAATTAATGAAACCAACGAACAATTAAAGTCAACACAAGATACTACTGATAACGCATCCCAGAACACAGAAACAACCAATGCTAAAACATACAGACCATCTCCTATCTTCGTACAAGGTGAAAAAGCAATCGACACAATTCAAGCATTGAGAACCGCTAACATTAATCAAGAAACTTTCTCAATAACAATGTCTAAAGGCCAACACCAACTCCTGGCCAAAAATCAGCTAAGCTTTGAAAAAATTAAAGAGGTTCTCATAGCTAACAATTTTAATTTCTACTCTTTCACTCCAAAAAGTGAAAAACTTAAATCCTTACTCCTCAAAGGTATGAGCCCAGACGTAACTACAGATATGGTTTTTAAAGATCTAACAGAGAAAAACATCCCCTCTGTAGTATTTAAAAAAGTCTCAGAATTAAAGTTTATGCGTGACGATGAACCCAGAAGACATCTGATCGTACAGGTAACACAAACTAGCAGTCTGAAAGAATTGTTTAAAACTCGACAAGTGCTCAATCTAAAAGCTAGATGGGAGCGACTACGAAGAAACAGAGCACTCCAATGCAGAAAATGGCAAAGACTTGGACACACGGCAGCGAATTGTCAGATGGAGTACAGATGTGTCAGGTGCGGTGATTCTTCACACGCTCCGGCTCAATGCCCGCTCAAGGATGAAAAGACTAGAGACAAGTCCAAGTGCGCAAACTGTGGTAAAAATGGACACCCAGCAAGCTACGCAGGCTGTCGATTCATGAAATTTGAAAAAATTAGCAGAAATCAAGCACGAGCACAAAAAAACAAATCACTTGAAAGAAATATCGAGGCGATATATCGGGAAGTGACTCCACAAATTTCTTTTGCTAATGCCATGAGTTCTTCAAGGGACTCTTTCCCTCCGCTAAAGCATAGAAACCAGACCAACTTTCAAGCGTTCCAGGGAGGACCTCCACCGCCACCTGTAACCGAGAATACGAGGTCTGAAGCTTTCAGATTACAGCCTGAATATCACCAGCAACAATCACAATGGCCCCGTGATGAAAATCCACAGCAACAAAATTGGGCTAACATCACAAATCAAATTAGTGAACTAATAAATGTTATCAAAGAAATGAGTATCAACGTCAATAGAAGTATCAACGAGACTACACGAAAAATTAATTTCCTTTCTGGCTACTTCAACGTCAATTATGAATAATAAGCCAACAATTGATAACGAAACAAGTGAAACTAGTGAACCGCAAGGATTAATAACAACCTTAAAATTTATGGCTATAAATGCTAACAGCTTACAACACAACGTACGCAGATTTGAACTACACAATAGATTAGAACAATATAATCCTGATATTGTATTAATATCTGAAACTAAACTCAACAGTTCTCACTATATACTTTCTCATAAATATAAAGTCATCAGAACAGATCGCCCGAACTCTAAACAAGGCGGAGGTACGGCGATTCTGATTAAAAATCATATCAACCACCAAGTCATTAGATACCCATCTTCTTTAAAAAACGAAATACTAGAATTCACTATAATTCAGATACTTCAGAACACAGATTCCAATAAAAAAATATTTGTTATCAGTAGCTATGCTACAAATTCAAATAGAAAAACATTTATACAAGAGCTGGATGATGTTCTTCAACGTCTAGATCTAAGCAATGCAGATCACTTTTTCATTCTAGCGGGCGACCTTAATGCCCGCAGGATGGAATGGGGAGATACAGCAGACAACCAAAGAGGCAAATTTCTTAGAACATGGGACGCTGAATCGATAGACGCCTATAGAGCTTCAATATATACCACAGACGTAGCATCATTCAAGACTGGCTCATTCCTAGACGTCTGCATAAGCAATATCACACTTACAGGTCTTACAAGCAAAAACAAGATCACAACAGCAGACTACGATAGTGATCATAGAGCGCTTCTCTTCACAGCCATACTTCCTCATGAAGTGCAGACTGGAGCTGACATTCAAATTCCTCGGCGAAATCTGCGTGCAATAAAATGGAAAAAGTTTGAAAAAACTCTTAACAAGGAGTACACACAAGAACTTGCAAATGACAAAAATCTCACAATAGAAGAAATAGACGATGGCATAACAAATCTAACATCAGCTCTAGTAAACACTATCAATAAAACTGCACCAATAGTTAAAAAGAATGAGGGAATCCTTAAATATATCAACGCTAAAATTAAAAAACTGCAGAATAACAAGACTAAAGCCATAAACCTTCTACATGTCTCAATAAATTCAACAAGCCCAAATAAACTGGAGCTGATACAGAAAACTAAGCACACGATCAATCTTATTAAATCAGAACTCAGGAAAGAATTTAATAAATCAGTCGAGGATTATTGGAAAGGTCAGCTCAAACAAATTAATCATAAAGATCCAACGTCATTCTTCCCAAAAATCAATCGTTTTCTCCGAAAAAAGAACCGTATCTCAATAGCCGATCAGCGAATTAAAATCAACGATCCTGTTTGTCAAAGCGGTGCAATAGACGTCATTAAAGCAATCAAGATTGAAGATGAGCTCCTGATCACTGAACCAATAGACAAGTTAAATGTCATTGGAGAATTTTACCAGACCATCAATGCACCTAGATACTTGAATACAGGAACTAGGTTGAAAGAACTGATTGATAAAAAAGCTGGGGAAGCCAAAGAACTCCTCTCAACAAGAAGATCTGAAGGTACTACAATAACTAACTTCTCCAAGGACTATAGAGCCTTAAATCCAGCTAATGATGGTTTAATAATACCCAACCACCTAAACAACAAAAAAAGCAACTCATCAGCGCAGACCCAGAAGGAGCATCCATTTGTAATCTATGACCAGCTGACAAAAATCCTTAAAAAACTGCCAAACAAAACCTCCAGTGGCCTTGATGAAATTCCATCAATTATACTCAAACATCTTCCACCAATAGTCATCAGTAATCTTGTAATAATTTTCAACAACGCCACCAATCACGCATACTTTCCTAACGTCTAGAAATCTGCCAAAGTGCTTCCTATACTAAAAAAGGACAAAGACCCCAGCAAGTCTACGAGTTACAGACCGATCAGCCTCACATCAAACCTGGGCAAAGTATACGAGATGACAATTAACAACCACTTAGTACAGGTATGCACTAAAGAAAAAATTATGCACGATTTGCAATTTGGTTTTAGAGCAAAGCATAGTACAACTCATGCTATACACAAAATAATAGACACAACAATGGGATACCTCCAGGATAATCTACAAGTAGCAGTTGCATTGATTGATCTTGAAAAAGCTTTTGATTCTGTCTGGATAAACGGTCTCATATACAAGCTAGTCAAACTGGGCTTTCCTGACTGGCTCAACCTACTCATCATAGATATGATAACAGGAAGAACTTTTAGAACCTGGGATGGAATTAATCTCTCAAATAAACGTCCCGCTAGGGACGTATAAAATTCTAGAAGGTCTGCAACAGGGAACAGTCAACTCACCACTTCTGTTCAACATTTTCACAATGGCCCTGCTACAACTATTTAATCTTAACATAAAGGAAAACCTATTCGCTGTTGCCTACGCTGACGATATTATAGTCGGAGTTGCTGGCAAAAATCCTACTAAACTGCAAAATGAACTTAAAAAACTAGTAAATAATATCAATGATTATTACAAAATCTGGAACCTCAGAATGAACCCTGAGAAATGCGAGACTGCTGTGTTCAGAAGAGAATCCAATCACCTAAGCAAGAAAGCACTAACTCAAATCAAGGACTTTCAAATCTCTACTCCGCAAAGCGACGCCTGATCTCTGCCGCCCAGGAAAGGGGGGGGGGGACACGACTGAGTTTCATACTTACGCCATTGCGTTTTTGTTTTTTTTTGGTGTAATTGCCGTTGCCGTTGCGACATGGTATTATTAGGTTGTAAGTGAACGTGCCGCAGAGCGGAGTCATTAGAATGTATACTAATAATAAATGTTTTTTTGTTGTTGGCGTTATACGGTCGATCCTTGTGTGATATAACCTAACCCTTACTTCAGGTGATGGGACTCATGGTACCGACAATCAACGATCCCTGTGGCTCCCAGTCGACGTCTGGGGGGAGGTGTTGTGACATGGGAATAATTTTCAATGTCAAATGATGACTTGATTAATTTTTTTTTTTGTTGTTTAATTTTATTTTTTTTATTTATTAGTATTATTTAAAAATTATTGGCTCAGCTGGAGGAAAGCGGAGATTCGACGCGACTGTGTCGCCCCACTATGGTCCCATGATCAGAGTGCGAAGCTCGAGGTAAGACAGGTAGGAGAGTAAAGCGCCAAACAAATTTGAAGTATGTACGAATGAGAGTAAACATTATAAAGAGTATGCATGAGTGAGAGCGACACGATTTTAGAGCGATCAGACGAACCCGATGATTTTCACGGAGCCATCGACGACCGGTGAGACATCTGGACGACGACGTTGGAATGAGGCAAATTCAAATCTGCCAATGACGACAGCGTTTGAGCAAACTCAGTCGAGCGAGGCGCCATCTGCACCCTGGAAACTGAACCGAGTGGTATATCGACCAATCATCGATCGCAACGGTACACTGGACGCATCCCGCAATACAACGGCCGGCTAGCATAAGCTGTGAGCTGATTGGATGCGAGCTTTGGTACCAACGAAAAAAAAAAAAAAGAGCACGTGTTGCCGAGGAGGCAGCAAAAATAACAATCAATTCTGATCTGGAAGCCATGCTTGTTGGTACATTAAAATTTGGACACGCGTAATTACAATTATTTTTTTTGCTACGTAATAATAAAATTGTAACAACCGAAACTGGTACCCGCGTATTTTTTGACGATCGTTCACGTTGTGTGAAATTGCCGAGCGCCAATAATTGTTTTTTTGCTATCAACAAATGCACGTGGGTTAACGCCATCGCCGAGCAGTCGACGCCATTCCGCCAGTCTTCCCGCCAATTGGGGTTGAGTATTGTTTCTTTTCCTGACGAGCCAGCACCGACCTCGAGGAGTTCACTACGGCCACGGGGTAAGTCTGATCGAGATTGTTTTACGTCCGGGTGTCTTCACCGCGATCTGTGTCGTGAGCCTGGCCGAATTTCACCAGGATTATTTTTTTTGTTGTTTAATTTTATTTACCGCAAAATTCTTGTGGAATTTTTCTATGAGCGAGTGACGACACTCTGAAGTACGGTACCTTGGGTTTGTGTGACGTATGTGTGTGTAGTGACTCACCACGTGAGAATTCGTTACCTCGAGCTTCTCAAATTTCCCAGAATTCGATAATTTCAATTTACTGAAATTGTTACTCGTCATATAATCAATTGGAGATTAATTAAATATTGAAATTATTAAAAATTATTT